ATGTATGTATATATATACATACATATATATATATATATATGTATATATATATGACATGACACTCATTTGTGTTAGGAATATAAAAAAAAGCAATAAATTGATCTTTTGTTAATATGATTAATGGTATCTATTTAAATCCAAGAGTCAATGTTATACGGAATGTACAAACATTAGAGGACTTTCAGGAAGATCAGGCATAAAGCAAGAATGTGTAGCATCAACATTACTATTTGATCTAGTTTTTGAAATGCTAACTCTAAGACAAGAAAAATGAATTGACAGAATATGCATAGGTAAAGATGATGCAAAATTCACTTTTTACACCACCATTTTCCTAGTCATTCAGGTTTACAATCCCAATTCCTCTCTTACTACACCCTCACATTCAACATTTTCTCAAATCCTCTCAATTCTATATTTGAAACATCTCTACTATATGTTTTCTTCTTTCTTCTGATACTGCCACCACCCTGGTTAAGACCCCATGCTTGGACGACTGAAATAGCTTACTGGTTGGCTCCTCTGCTTCAAGTTTGTCTGCTCTCCAGTTCATCATTCAATTATCAAAGTGATCTCCCTAAAGTACTAGTCTGACCATGTCACTTCAGTGGCTCCCGATTGCTTCCAAGATCAAATCTAAAATTATTCATTTGGCTTTTAAAGTTCTTCCTAATAAGCTGACCCTTTCCTAACTTTTCATTTTTTTTTTATAATTTATCCCCACTATGTATTCTGTAATCCAATGACTAACTCCTTTGTTTTTCTTTGCACAAGACATTCCATCTCCTGACTTCAGGCATTTTCATTGGTTATCCCCCATTTCAAGAATTCAGCTTTTCTGGCTTCAAATCTCAGCGGCAAAGTCCCACCTTCTGCAAGAAGCTTTTCCTAGGCCTCCTTCATTTTAGTGCTTTCATCTGAAATTATCACTAATTTACCATGTATATACTTGTTTGTTTATAGTTCACATGCTGTCTCCCACATTAGATTTTAAGTTCCTTGAAGGCAGGAGCTATTTTTGCCTTGCTTTGTATCCTAAGTACTTAGCACAGTACTTGGCACATAGCAGACACTTAAAAATGCATATCAAGTTGACTTGCAGATGATATGGCCTATTTAAGAATACTAGACATTCAGTCAAAATCAATTAAAACAATCACTTCAGCAAAGTAACAGAATATATAAAATAAATCCACAAGCAATTAGCTATTCTTTAATTAGAAACAAAACCCAGAAAGGAGAGATAGAAAGAGAAATTCCACTCAAAATAACCGTAGAATACACCAAATATTTGGGAATTCGTGTAAAGACACACACACAGAGGAATTATATAGATGCAACTATAAAACAGTCTATAGAAATAATGAAATCAATTAAATAATTAGAGAAATATTAATTTTTCTTATGATTTGACCACACAAATATAATAATGGCAATGCTACCTAAATTAATTTCTTTTAAAATTTATCCCATAGAATCAAACTATCCAAGGAGCTACTTTATGAAACTAGAAAAAATGAAGTGTCAAGGAAGGGATTTTAGCAGTATCAGTTCTCAAATTATACTAGTCTGGCTATTGAGGAAGAGGAGGAGAATTTTTGATAATGAGTCAAGCTGTGAAAGAGGTGAAGTATGGCTGAGGCTCTTCCTGAAATAAATGTCCCAGTGAAGGAGTTATGAATCAATAGAGTAAGACCTCAGGGTGGAGGTTTCTTCAAGAAATGATGATAGAAGAAGCCAAGGAAGGAAACAGAAATCGAGAAGCCTGAAGAAACAGGAGAAACAGAAGCAAAGTGGAAACTTCCCTCTACTGTTTTAAGTGAGTGGAGCCCAGTCAAGCTGAGTGGACAGTTCATAAAAAGTAGCTGGATTGAGATCTGATGGAAGAGTTTAGGGCCTGCATTTCCCCCATGCTGAATTAAGTAGAGGAATACAACCTTCATCTCTTGCTGGGAAATGATCTGAGTAGAAGAAATCTTTGCTTTTGGGAGCAGATTGGAGGAAGAGGCTGCTAACAGAGTGGACTGGGGAGAGGAGAAGGTTGTCTATCTTTTACTGCCTTGAGAAGAGAAAATACCCAGTTATTTGTCTAACTTGCCTATTATTGCCATCTATGATTTGAGAAGGAGCAATACTTCAGAGAGCAGCCAAGAAATGCTCTGTAATTCCCAGGCTTAGAGGAATTGCTGTTGTTAAAAGAGTCAAGGAGTAGTTTGAGTAGAGAAGTGACCCACATAGTAAGGTACTTTTTGGTATAGTAGATGATTTCCTGAGGAAACTGAGGATATACACCCTAAAATCCAGAATTATGTTGCCATTGGCAAATAAATTTTCCTACTTGTGTGGCTTCCTGCTATGTTTCTATGAGTATGTCCCACTCTTCCCTATGGACACTTGTAGGCATTGGTGAGATTGAGATCTAAGTATATGGGAGACCTGTCATGCTGTGATTGTCCTTGCTTTTAATTCTCAGTAGTAAGTGTTTCATGATTAAAAATTGAGAGTGTTATTTTGTTTAATTTGTTTAAAAAGAAAGCACACAATTGATTCAACCATTCTGGAGTGCAATTGGGAACTATGCCCAGAGGGCTGTAAAACTGTGCATACCTTTTGATCCAGCAATACCACCACTAGGTCTGTATCCCAAAGAGATCATAAAAAAGGGAAAAGGACCTTCATATACAAACATATTCATAGCAGCTCTTTTTGTGGTGGTAAAGCATTGGAAATTGAGGAGGTGCTCATCAATTGGGGGATGGCTGAATAAGTTGTGGTATATGAATGTAATGGAATACTATTGTTCCATAAGAGATGATGAGCAGGTGGATTTCAGAAAAACCTGGAAGGACTTACATGAACTGGTGCTGACTGAAATGAGTGGAACCAGGAGAACATTGAACATAGTAACAGCAACATTGTGTGAAGACCAACTTTGATAGACTTAGCCCTCTTCAGCAATGCGATGACATAAGACAATTCCAAAAGACACTTGATGGAAAATGAACCTTGCTGTCCACATTCACAGAAAGAAGTATGGAGTCTGAATGCAGATGGAAATATACTATTTTCACTTTTTTTTCTTTCTTTCTTGTGTTTTCCCTTTTGTTCTGATTCTTCTTTCAAAACAAGACTAATGTGGAAATATGTTTAATATAATTGTACATGCATAACCTATCAGTTTTCATGCTGTCTTGGGGAGGGGAGAGGGGAGGAAGGGAGGAAAAAAATAGGAACTCAAAATCTAATAAAAGTGAATGTTGTAAACTAAAAATAAACAAAAAAAAGAAAGCACACTAATAGAGGCTTAAGAACCTTAGTTGTTAGTAGTAGATGAATAGCTCATCCACATTAACCTCTAACTTAGAAAACTGGTGTACTGTGCCAGCCCAGAGAGAGAAGGGTTGGCAAGGTGCCACAACCACACTACATGTAAATGGCCACATCTTGAGCAAATTAGAGGAGCAGGGAAGGAGATTCCTATCACAACTATGGATATGGGAAGAGTTCTTGATCAAAAAGGGTAGAGAGGTTGATAGGAGATAAAATGGACAATTATGATTATAGAAAACTGAAAAAAAAATTCAAACAAAATCAATTTAGATAAAATTAGAAGGGAAAAAGTTAACTGGGAAAAATATTTGTAGTGATTTTTTTTTCTGATAAAGATTTTTATGTCAAGACACATATAGAAGGTATTCAAATATCTAAGAACAAAAGCCATTCTTCGCCATATAAATGGTTAAGGACTATGAAGAGATAATTTTCAAAAAAAAAGAAATGCAAGTCATCAATAATCACATAAAATGCTTCAAATCACTTATAATAAGATAAATACAAATCAAAACAATTCTGAGGTACTACCCCATAACCATCATACTAGCAGAAATTGAAAATTACAGCTGTTGGAGAGGGTATGGGAGAGTGGACATAGTAATGATATTGGTGGAGCTGTGTGAATAGGTTCAGCCATTCTGGAAACTAATTTGGAATTTGAAAGTAAAATGTCACTAAACTATGCATACTTCTTGGCCTGGTGATATCACTACTGGATGTATACTGAAGTGGTAAAAAGAAAGAGGGCCAGTAGAAAATATTTATAGCAGCACTCTTTGTTGTAGAAAAGAACTGGAAACATTATGTGCCTATCAATTGGAGAATGACTGCACAAATTATAGTATGTGAATATAATGGAGCATAATCGTGCCATAAGAAATGATGGAATAGACAATTTCAGAGAAACCTGGGAAGACTTTTATGAACCGAGGCAGAGTGAAATAAGCATAATCAGTAGAACAATTTATGTAATAATTAAAATATTGTGAGAAAAAACAACTTTGAAAGATTTGAGAACTTTAATAAATACAAATTACTCCAGAGAACTAATGATGAACCATTCTTCTGCAGTGCAGAATGAAATATGCATTTTTAGACATGATCAGTGTGTGTGTTTGTTTTGTTTGGTTATTCACATTTGTCATAAGGTATGGCTTTTCTATTTGTGGGGAGACTTTAAAAAAAGAGGAGGGCAAGTAATAGTTTTGCTTGTCACAAAAAGGAAAAAAAGGAATATGACTGAAAAGTTTAAAAAATGCATATAAGAAAATTGAAGAAGGTTTAGAAGGAAATAAACAAGAGAACTTGAAACTAATGGATTTATTATATACTTTAAAAGAGGAAAAAGCTAGATTACCATGGGGATTCACTGTTTTGTACACAATCTGCCTTTTCTCTTCTTGTTTTATATAGAATTGTTTCTGTTTGTCAAGTTAAGAATAACTAAAAATAAGCATTTAGATAAACACATGAAAAGAAATGTTGTTTTGATTTTCTAACTACACTTCTCGCCAGCTCTAGCAGACAACTTCTATAACTTCTGATATAGCCATGAAATAAGTAACATATTCCTTAATTTGACTTTTTTTGAACAATTCTATTGCAGTGCTTTGGGTTTTATTAAGAACTTCTAAAGGAAAACATTATCTTTATTTTGTTGTGTCCAGGGTACCTACATTAAGCTGGTTGGGATGCAGAGATGCCAATGTTGCTGAGCATTGTTTGCTGGTGGATGTGGCCAAGGGCCTGAATTTGTAACAAATGAAGCAGAAGCAATGTCAGAATAAGGTATGTACCAGAAACCAGTGGGGGGATTGATAGCAAAGTCATAAAAATAGTAGAAGCAGCAGGAACTGAATGGTGGTGGTGGTGGTGGGGAAATTGTGGTGGTTAAGATAGCAGGTGATATCTACCCACAGGAATGGGAGCAATAACAGAAGTGGAAATGGGACTTAGAGCAAGTCAATAGACCAAGAATTGGAGGATAACCCTCCTGCCCCAAAGATACATGCTCAACTTTTACTCTAGTGGTGAGTTCTTGGGTTTGCATGCCCCAGAAATACTCCCTTTTGTTATTACCACTCTCAATCACCCCTTTTTTGGGATCATGGAAAGAATATTGACTAGAGTCTGAGACTTTGGTTAAAGTCCCATTTCTGACACTTACCTTGAGCAAATTATTTAACCTTCCTGTGTCCCAGTTTACTCATCTTAAAATGAGCAGCTGGAATTGATGACCTTTGCGATGCCTTTCAGCTTTTGATCCATGATCCTGTGATTCTCATCTCTTCTTTGTTTCCACTTTCCTTTTTCCATCCCCTTTTTATGGGAATTCCAGAAAGCTCTATCCTCTTCCCTCTTCCCCCCGCCCCTTATCTTTACTCTCTGTCAAAAGTCTTATCTAATCATGTGGCTTTGACTTTCTCCATATCTCCTCCCAAATCTCTCTGAGTTCCAATCCCCACATCTCTGACTCCTACTGAACATGTCATGGATGACTCAATGTATCCAAATTTTAACCCATTTCCCTCAATGCTTGCCCCTTTTCCAAATTTTCTATCAGTCACCAGGGCTTAAAATTTTATTGTCATTTTTGTCTTTTATCCCTTTCACCCCCTCTACCAAGTCTTGTTGATTGTACTTCTTCAATATTTCTTCATAGCTGCCTCCTCTTTTCCAATTCCTCTGCCATGATTGTAGTTCAAATCTTCATTATCTCTCAGCTGTACTACTAATAATAGCCTCTGAGCTGGTCTCCCTATCTCTAATTTCTTCTCTCTCTGATCATTCTACTGTCAAAGTAATCTTCCTAATGCACCAGTCTGATCATGCCGCTTCCATGTTTAAAGATATGCCTTCAGGGGTAAAAATATTTTTTCAGCATTCAGTGACCTCCCCAATTTAGATCCAGACTATAATTTCAGACTGATTTCATACCATTAAATTTCAAGTACTACTTAGTCTAGGCACTGTTTTAAAAACACATATTATCTCATTTGATCCTCACAACACCTGTGTGAGTTAGGTGCTATTATCACCCCCTGCCCCCTTTGATAGTTGAGGAAATTGAGGACAGAGGTTAAGTGACTTGCCTACAACTGAGAACAGATTTGAACGTAGATCTTCCTGATTCCAGGTCCAGTCCACTATTCATTGTGCCACCTAGCTGCCAGCTGTACGGCTAGTTATTTCCTGACTCCATCTTGTCCTTTCCTGCCTTTATACACTTGATCAAGGCTGTTCTCCATGAATGGATTAGATTCTCTACAGGTCTCTACTTGTTGAAGTCGTTTCCCATCAAGATCTAGTTTCAGTGTCACCTTTTTCAGGACGCTTTCCTTGATTTTTCCACTATAAGAAATTTCTCCCTCTTCAAATCTTTCATGCCATTTGAAAAAAATATCTGGTGTGGTTTTTATATTGTAACTTGTGTCATGGTTTTTTGTATACCTGTTTTGTCCTCACCACTATACTGTAAACTTGTTTTTTTTTTGTAAATGGATTTTCTTCATTTTTAATTTATGAAATAACACATTTTTCCATAACATAGTAGAATTAGAAAAAAAAGATGATTGCACATGAAACTGCAAATCTATTATGAACAACTTGCTATTCCTTTTAAATATATAACATTATCACGTAACCTTTTTCTCCTTTTTTCTTTCTTGTTCTTTTTGTTGCATCTGTTCCTCCTTTGTGAGTTTTTTTCTTTTAAAATTTATTTATTTTTAGTTTTCAACATTTACTTCCACATGATTTTGAGCTCCAAATGTTCACCTCATCATGCCCCTCCCCCCACTCCAAGATGTCATGCATTCTGAATATCCCTTCCCCTAGTCTGTCCTCCCTTCTATCTCTCCCCACCCCCTTCTCTTATCCCCTTTACCTTCTGCTTTCCTATAGGGCAGGATAACTTTCAGTACCCCATTTCCTGTATATCTTATTTCCCACTTGCATGTGAAAACATTTTTTTTAAAATATGTGATTTTAAAACTTTGGGTTCCAAATTTTCTCCCTTCCTCCCTCCCCATCCACCCTCATTGAAAAGGCAAGCAACTCAATATAGGTTATACATGTACAGTCATGTAAAGCACATCCATAGTAGACATGTTGTGAAAAACTAACTCTATTTCCCTTAATCCTATTCCCCCCCCATTTATTCTACTCTTTCTTTTGACCCTGTCCCTCCTCAGAAGTGTTTGCTTCTGATTACCCCCTTTCCCAATCTGCCTCCTCTCTATCATTCCCCTGCTATCTTGTGCCCTTCTCCCCCTATTTTCCTTTAGGGTAAGACAGCTTTCCATACCCAATTGAGTGTGTATGTTATTCTCTCCTTAAGCCAAATTCTATGAGAATAAGATTCACTCATTGCCTCTCACCTTCCCCTGTTTCCCCTCCACTGTAAGAGCCTTTTCTTTTCTGTTTTTTCTTGTAAGATAATTTACCCCCTTCTACCTCTCCCTTTCTCCTTCTCCCAGTATAATCCTCTCTCATCCCTTATTTTTATTCTCCAGATATGACCCCTTCATCTTCAACTCACCCTGTGCCCTCTCTCTCTCTCTCTCTCTCTCTCTCTCTCTATCTATCTATATATACATACATTTTTTTCCCTCCAACCACCCTAATACTGACAAAGGTCTCATGAGTTATAAATATCATCTTTCCATGCAGGAATGTAAACAGTTCAACCTTAATAAGTCTCTTATGATTTCTCTTTCCTGTTTACCTCTTCATGTTCCACTTGAGTCTTGTATTTGAAAGTCAAATTTTCTGTTCAGCTCTGGTCTTTTCATCAGGAATGCTTGAAAGTCCTCTATTTCACTGAATGACCATTTTTCCCCCTGAAGGATTATACTCAGTTTTGCTGGGCAGGTGATTCTTGGTTGTAATCCTATCTCCTTTGCCCTCCAGAATATTATATTCCATGCCCTCTTGTCCCTTAATGTAGAAGCTGCTAAATCTTGTGTTATCCTCATTGTGTTTCCACAGTACTTAAATTGTTTCCTTCTGGCAGCTTGTAATATTTTCTCCTTGACCTGGGAACTCTGGAATTTGGCTACAATATTCCTAGGAGTTTTCCTTTGGGGATCTCTTTCAGGAGGAGAGATTGGTGGATTCTTTCATTTCTATTTTGTCCTCTGGTTCTAAAATATCAGGGCAGTTTTCCTTGATAATTTCTTGAAAGATGATGTCCAGACTCTTTTTTTGATCATGGCTTTCAGATAGTCCAATAATTTTTAAATTCTCTCTCCTGGATCTATTTTCCAGGTCAGTTGTTTTTCCAATGAGATATTTCACATTGTTTTCTAATTTTTCATTCTTTTGGATTTGTTTTACAGTGTCTTGATTTCTCATAAAGTCACTAGCTTCCAATTGCTCTATTCTAATTTTTAAGGAAGTATTTTCTTCAGTAAGCTTTTGGACTTCCTTTTCCATTTGGCCAATTTTGCTTTTTAGGGCATTCTTCTCCTCATTGGCTTTTTGGACCTCTTTTGCCATTTGGGTTAGGCTATTTTTTAAGGTGTTATTTTCTTCAGTATTTTTTTGGGTCTCCTTTAGCATCACTCTCAGTTTTTCCTCTACTTCTCTTACTTGCTTCTCAAAATCCTTTTTGAGCTCTTCCATGGCCTGGGACCAATTCATATTTTTTGGAGGCTTTGGATGTAGGAGCTTTGGCTTTGTTGTCTTCTGGTTTTGTGTTTTGATCTTCTTTGTCAGCAAAGTAAGATAATATAGTCTGACTCTTTTTGCACTGCTTGCTCATGATCCCAGCCAATTACTTGAGTTTTAAACTCTTTGTTAAGGTAAGAGTCTGCTTCCAATGTGGAGAGTGTACTGTCCCAAGCTTCAGGGGTTTTGTGTAGCTGTTTTCAGTGATACTTCTAGGGATCTGCAAATTTTCAGTTCTTTCAAGGTGCTATGATCAAGGGTGAGGTGTTTACTCCTTTCCTGGCCTGTGCTGTGGTCTATTAGTGACCACAAGCACTCTTTTCTGCCTTGGAACTGTGAGGAAGATTTCTCTCCACAGCCACTATAAGGTCTACCATGCCAGCACTCCTCCTCACCCCAGTACTACCATCCAGAACTGTGACCCAGATCCATGCATGGGCAAAGCAAGAGATTCCTGCCTCAGAACTGGCAAAGAGATACCTGCAATCACTCTCTGATCAGCCACTCAATTCCCCTCAGTCTGTGGGTCGGAAGCTCAGGAGGCAGCCACTGCCCCGGGCTGCGCTTGGGGAATGGAGCTGAGACCACCTCACTTCTCTCTCAGCACTGCAGAAACAGACTTTTTCCACTGACCTTCTAAGTTGTCTTTGGTGTTCGTGGGTTGAGAAGTCTGGAAACCACCACAGCTGCCTGTGATTCAGTCCTCTCAGGCCTGCTCCAGGTTTGATGCAGCCTTTGTTCCTCTCCCCGCCTGGGTGCAATGTACCTTTCTGATCAACCATCCAGGTTTTCTTGGGGTGGAAATTTGTTTCACTCTGTCTTTTTGTGGGTTCTGATGCTTCAGAATTTGTTTAGAGCCATTTTTTATAGGTATTTGGAGGGGTTTGGGGGAGAGCTCAAGCAAGTCACTGCTTTCACTCCACCATCTTAGCTCTGCCCCTCTACTTTTTTTCTTCCTTCCTCCCCCTGCCATGGAGATGACTACCATTACATACAAATATGTATGTACTTGTATTTATACATACATATATACACACGTATATACACACATACATATATATATACATATGTGTATGTAAAATGATTCTATACATACTTCTATTTATCAGTTCTTTCTT